TGAGAGCTGGTGCCTCGAGGCTGTGACTGCTCAGCAGGACAGCAGATGGGGGCTGGGATGCTCCCTGGGAAGGTTGGTGGCATTTCAGCCAGTCCTGCCACTGGGAGGAGCAGCCAGTGCACGGTGCTGGGTTCCTGCAAAAGGACCCTGACAATTCCTGCAGATGTCCAACACTTTGGAAACTGCACCCTGCAGATAACTCCCACAGCACTTACCAACAAACCCTTTTAACCTAATTCATCCTGGCTGCCATCTGGGATGAACAAATGTTCAGGTGGCCTTCACCTGACTCTCCATTCTTCTTACCCAGCTCTCCATCTTATTAAACCTCTCCCTTTTGAGATTCAAATCCCAGCCTCATTTCTCTTCCTGGACAAGTTCACAGCCCCTCCAATATGCTCCTTTTTCTGCTCCCTTTTGGAGGAGACCCAACCCCAGGCTATATTTAGTGAGGACGTCGCCGATGTGGTCGGTCCCTTGGTGTTCTCCCTGTCATTTTCTCTGCCCTTCTACCAAAGCTAAACGTTCTTCTCCTTTTTTTTTTTGGCCCTTGCTGCGTGCTGATGTCTTTGCTGAAGTGTCCTTGATAACTCCCAGCTCGTTTCCAGAGAGGCTGGAACTAATTCAGAGCCCAGCATATGTAAAGAATTTAAATTGTTTCTTCAGATGTTCACGCATCACCTCGTCTTTAGGACTTTCTTCTATTTTTGATAACTCCCTGGTTCTGGTCTTTCAAAAAGCCTCAAATACTCCTAATTCCAACCCATTTATCATATTATGAGTCACCAACAACATTTTCTGCCTTAGCAGGTCCTCAGGACGTGCTGAAAACCACCCTGAGGGACAAACTTGCTTCCAGGAAGAAAGAGCTGCTAACTTTTTGGGAAGCAACTTCGAGCCCCTTCCCCTTCCCTGGGTAAAGGAAAGGGAAAAATCCCAACTGCAGGCCAGGAAAACTTCAAACCAGTGACCTTCACGTGAACCTCTGCATTAAGTAGAAGGTTTTGACTGCTAGTAAACCAGAAATACTCTTTTCCTTGGATCTGACAGGTTCACATTTTCCCAATTTCCAAGAGATCTCTCTCAAGTGCACGAGACTGATGCAAATAAAAGGAGAAGAGTTTAACACTGACAACACTTCTTGTCAGTGCAACCAAGGTGACCTTCAGAGAGTCCTGTGAGCCTCAAAACCAGAGTGGTAGCACCAGCCAGCTGGAGAAGACAACTGCCCTACCCAGCAATGTTATCCCTGCACCTAGAGGGTAACAGCAGCTTCTGTTTCTGCCTGAAACCCTCTGGCAGAAATATCCAGGCTGCTTGGCCTGAGAGGAAGGAAAAAGGAACCAGCAGGCAGCAAAATTTCAAGGCTGGTCATTCTGAGGGCAGGGTCAGCTTGGTGCTTCTTGGAAGGCATCTCCCAGGCCTTAGGTGGACTGCTGGCAAGGCTCACTGGGCTCCTTGTGCCTCCAGACCTCAAATAACATTCCCAGGGAAATGAGAGACAGGTCATCTGGGCTCCACAGCAGGAACATCTCACTGCCAGGCAGCTGAGTCAAGGAATCACCCAGTTGTTTTGTTTGGAGGAGACCTTGACAATCCTCAAATCCAACTGTTTACCCAACACTGCCAGGTCACCTCAGCACCACATCTCCACGGCTTGGAAACCCCTCCAGGGGTGGGGACTCCACCACTGCCCTGGGCAGCCTGGCACAGCCCTGGGCAACCCTCCAGGGCAAGAAATTGTTCCTCAGGGCCAACCTCAACCTCCCCTGGGGTGCCTTGAGGCCCTTTTCCCTCCCTCCAGGCTCCTGTCAGGAGCTGTGCAGAGCCAGAAGGTCTCCCCTGAGCCTCCTTGGCTGCAGGCTCAGCACCCCCAGCTCTTGTGGATCATCAGCCATTCACTCAGAGCTTTCTCTCTGACAGGAGCTATTTGGTACCTACCGACTGAGAGTCTTTTGTCCTTGTGCAGCAGAGGAACACCTTGAGCCTGCGTGTCCAGCTGCTGGCCTGTCCTTCCTCCAGGCGGTGGCTGCAGAGAAAGGGCAGAGTGTGCACGTCAGGATGGGCAGGAGATGACCCCAAGATGACTCCACCACTGCCCTGGGCAGCCTGGCACAGCCCTGGGCAACCCTCCAGGGCAAGAAATTGTCCCTCAGGGCCAACTGAAACCTCCCCTGGGGTGACTTGAGGCTGGTTCCTCTCATCCTATCACTTGTCCCCTCAGAGAACTGACTGACCTCCACCTTATATTCTTATATATAAGAATTTATTCCTATTTTTATCCTGTTCTAGCAGGGACAAGGACAGCACATCATTAACAACTAGCTGGTTTGGCCAAGACTAAGCCTTGTACTTCTATACCTGGTGTTTTTTTGGACTGGCCCTAAAGAAGCTCCTGTTGTCCTCTAATTCCTCTTAGAAGCAGAATGTCCAGGAGCTCCTGGTGCTCTGGATGGAAGGAGATTCTACTGGCAGCTTGGTGCAGCTGCATCATATGCTAGGAAGGACTCAGCAGGGCACCTCCACCTCGGGGTGAAGGGCTGGGAATGGTACAAAAGACCCTGAGCACTCAGTATGCTAGCAGCTAGGCAATCTATTTTCCCCATAAATAGCTTATTTGGAACAAAATGTGTTTATTAAACATAACCTGCTCTCCAAACTGAAATAATTTGCACTCTTTCTTCAAGTGCAGTGCATGGTTTCAATCAAAGGAAGCAAGCTGAAGGTTCTCCTTCAATTTAGGAGAGGTTTAAAAAGGCTGAATACAGAAGGTTTAGTTCAACCCACATTGGGTTCAGATGACATTTCAATTCCAGCTTCAAAATGAGCTAATTGGACAAACCTTATTTCAAATGAACTGTGGCTGAGTTCACTGTTGTGAGCTTGTCCTAGTTACTACATTTTGGAGGGTGGCAGTCCCTTAATTCTGACTGGCAGAGCTGCAAATATCCCTTGGATCAAGCCAGGCTTGGTAGCACTGAGGTGGGGAACTGTGAAGTTCTTTGCTGTGCTACCTACATCCAAATATCTACAGCTCCTCTGAGGCAGGGGCTGGATTCTAATGTCCACAAAGACTAACTCAACACAGGTTGAAAAAAGACTGTTCCTGGTTTTTTTGGCAAATGATCCTGTCAGGAAAAGCCCAAGCACAGAAAGTGGGTTGCACCTGGAAGAAAAAGATGCTGGTAAAGGAGGATTTGCCAGCAGGAGCAGATCCTGCAGGGCAAGCACAGCATCAGAGAATTGTTGAGGTTAGAAAAGACCTTCAAGATGATTGAGTCCAACCATCCCCCAGCCCTGCCAGGTCCCCACTGCCCCGTGTCCCTCACCCCACATCTCCACAGCTTGGAAACCCCTCCAGGGGTGGGGACTCCACCACTGCCCTGGGCAGCCTGGCACAGCCCTGGGCAACCCTCCAGGGCAAGAAATGGTTCCTCAGGGACAACTGAAACCTCCCCTGGGGTGACTCGAGGCCCTTTTCCCTCATTCCAGGCTCCTGTCAGGAGCTGTTCAGAGCCAGAAGGTCTCCCCGGAGCCTCCTTTGCTCCAGGCTCAACCACAGCCAAGCATCACCCAACACCCTCAGGTCCCATCCATCAACTCCTGCCTGAGCACTTCAAAACCACCACCCATCACCTCCAAGGAAAACTCCAGAAGAGGAAGAGGACCAGGAGTGTTCTACAACACGAGCTGGCAGCACTCACTTGGCTCCACAAAATGCCAAAGAACTCGGGCAGCAATGCAAAGAACTTCACAGCTTCGGGGCGGGGGCTGAAAAAACCAAGTGGGCTGAGCTATTTTCACTCCAACTTTTCCCAAATTCTTTCCCTCCTAACCCTGAACCTTCGACGTGTTCGGTACGAGCTCTCAAGCCAGGCTCTTGGAAAAGCCTCAGCACAATTAGCTGAGCCTTTTGTTTTGTTGTTTTCTTTTCTTTAGCTCTGCAAGAACATAAAAGCCCACACACATCACGATGCCACTGGGAAGGGAAAGCTGCTGTGTCTGAGCCCAACAGCTACAGAAAACTCCCAGGAAAAGGAAGCCCAAGTTAAACATCTCCTTCATGTATTGAGTTTTTTCAGACAGAAGCACAACTCAGGTTAAGGTAACACCAAGGTCAAAGTGCTGCTGCCCATCAGAGGACACGTAGCCCTGCAGGCCATGAGATTTTTGGGGGTGTCTGAGCCTCGGGCACCTTGCAGGATCACAATCCAGAGAGAGGCAGAGGATTTCACACTCCACTCTTTAGGAAGGATCCCTTTAAGCATGTGGAGAATTTCAAAATCTGCTGTTTGAAAACAATTCTTTTAGTAGTGAAGATGTAGTAACATTTGATGTTTCCCTTTCTGATTGCTGCTCGCAGCCTTGTGCTTGTCAACAGCTGCTCCTGTGCCCTTTTTAGGGGGAAATCTGTAAAGAGCAGGCAGGAGCTCTCCAAAAAAATATCTTACAGCCCTGGAGGGAAAAACCTGGCCAGGACCCAAAGGACAAACACCTTCATTCAGCTGTCTGGGCTCTCAAAACTCCTCACGGGGGAGATAATTCTTGGGTTTGTTTTGATTTACTTCTAAGATCCCTGGCAAAGAACTTTGCAATCTGTGGCACTGAGCTTCCCTTTGGAAAAATAATGTACTGAGACCAACAGCTTTGATGGCATGTGGGGTATCAGAGAGTCATCCTTTTGGTTGGAAAAGGTCTTTAAGATCCTCAAGTCCAACCCCACCAGTGCCAGGTCCCCACTGCCCCGTGTCCCTCACCCCACATCTCCACGGCTTGGAAACCCCTCCAGGGGTGGGGACTCCACCACTGCCCTGGGCAGCCTGGCACAGCCCTGGGCAACCCTCCAGGGCAAGAAACGGTTCCTCAGGACCAACTGAAACCTCCCCTGGGGTGACTTGAGGCCCTTTTCCCTCCCTCCAGGCTCCTGTCAGGAGCTGTGCAGAGCCAGAAGGTCTCCCCTGAGCCTCCTTTGCTCCAGGCTCAGCACCCCCAGCTCCCTCAGCTGCTCCTCCCCACACTTGGGCTCTAGACCCTTCCCCAGCAGCTCCGTTGCCCTTCTCTGCCCACACTCAAGGTTCTTCTTGAAGTGAGGAGACCAAAACTGCCCCCAGGATTGGAGGTTCAGCCTCCCCAGTGCCCAGCCCAGGGGGACAATCCTGCCCTGCTCCTGCGGGCCACACCAGTGCTGCCCCAAGCCAGGATGCTGGTGGCCTCCTTGGCCACTTAGGGACACACACTGCCTCCTCTCCAGCTGTAATATTGTCACAGCTTCTCATCCTGACCTCCCTGGACATGACCTGATCAGAGTGCAGCAATCCCACAGCCCGGGCTAGCAGGGCACTAACTCCAAACAATCAAGGCCAGTGTTAGTAACACACTGGTGAGGTCAGGAAGAATATCTTGCATTCCTCAATAAAACACAGCCTCCTTCAAACCAAACTGGCCTGCACGGTCATCATTTAGGTTGGAAAAGACCTTTAAGATCAAGTCCAGCCATTAATCAGCACCGAGAAAAGGCCACTCAGAGTTCTGGTTAAGTGACAACAGCAGCAACATCCTTAGAGAAGTCTGGATTTTCCTCCAAACAGTAGCCTGAAGGACCCCACTTCAAGACCCTGGAAGAGCACGTACTCAAAATACCCTCTGGAACACAGAATCCCAAAGAGAAATGGAAAATTCACAGAGGAGTTGTTTAAAAGCCTCATTTTTTTTTTTAGCATTCAAACCCGAATGCCCTCAAGTCCTACAAAAGCCACATTCCTTGCTGACAGACACAGATGTCAAGACTGCAGAAGGAAACAAAGCTGGTTTGTGTTGTCCTGCTACTGGGAAGGGAAAAAAAAAAACCTCCTGAAAAATGTCCTGCTTGGTGAAAAAAAACCTTTCCTACCCCCATCTGGGTAGCTCCAAAAACACAATCAATTCTTAATTAAAAGATCCGACTGCCAACACGAAAGAAATTGCTTCTTGGCCAAGACCAAACAGAAGAAACCTTCAGGCCAAAAGGTTGTATTTTGAAGACAAAAATAAAGGCAGAAAGGGGCTTTGGAAGAAGATGCTGCCTCAACCTAAGCAAAACCCAAGCACTGCTTTGGTCTTAGCGGGTTGAGCGGGCTGCTACTGGGAAGGGCAGGATGGTCAAACAAGCTACAGGATGGACAAACAAGCTGTTGGGGGCAGCACTGGCTGGAGGGGCTTTGTAAGGACTTCCAAATCCAGTGCTGAGCACCCAAGCCAAGCAGAACCCCCCCTGGAGAAGCTGCTCTACCGGAGGTTGTAGGTCCTGAGGTTGCGCTGCCGGCGTTTCGTGGCGCGCAGCTTGACGAAGGTCCGGCCAGTGGGGTCAAAGACACAGAGGACAGTGATGCAGACGCTCAGGATGACCACCCAGTTGCACACCACCATCCCTGTAGAGAGAGGAGAAAGGTCAGGTGCTGGGCCAGTCAGCCTCGGGGGCTTTTCAGACCCTCCCCAATCCGTTGCTGCCGGGAAGGGAACGTTACCCCAGATGCTCCGGAATGAAATCCTCTGGAAAGGCTTTTAAAGCCCAGCTAAGTTTTCCAGCTGGTTTAGGAGCTTGCTCATGCAGAAGGCTGTTAAATGCTCACTGAGAATCTCGGGGGACTGCAAGATTAGTGGGTGTACCCTCAGCCAGGAGACTGGGTGAGACTGAAAAGGAGTTCCAGGAAAACAGTAAAGCCGCTTTGAATTGAAGAAGGGGCAGCAGGTCTTAAAGACTCCCCCAACCAGACCCTTTCCATGGGAAAAGGAATTCTTGCCTCAGTGCAGACAGCACAAAGAGAACAACCCTTCTGAGCAACACTGGGGGAAAACAAGCACTGCATTTACAGCTAGAATCCAGTCCCAGCAGGTCCATCCCCACACGCGCGACTGAATTAGCTCGGCGAGGCAAGAGGACGTGTGTGTGTGTGTGTGTGTGTGTGCACACACAAATCCCCTTCCAAATACGTACCCAAAGTGACACTCTTTGCTGTGAGATCATTGCAGGAAGCGTAGTACTGCGTTAGCCAAACGATGCCCACAATAGCATAGACAAATTCAATCACCAAGATAGCTGAAACAGAAAGAACACAGCTCGGAGTAGAAGCTGAAGGCTCGAGGGCTGCACCTCCCCATCTTCTGGAAGGGAAACCCAGAGATAGGTTCTTTAGCAGGATAATGGTGTGGAATAAATGCCTGGCAGGATTAGGTCCCAGTGGTTTGGAAGGTGAGCATTAAGAAAATGAAGCAAAAATGTCATGGGTCCTTAATGCTAACTACTGGCAAGTGACACAAGGACCACATGCACCCAGGGGTGTCTGTGCCCTTGGCTGTACCAGAGGTGGGAGTGGGAAAGCCACCCAAGAGTGGAAAGACTCCCAGAGGCAGGAATAATCACCATGTAACCACACCAAGGTCTTAACCACCTCAGACAGCTGACCTGACTCAAAGATAAGGACCAACCAGCTTGTATCCAGGATTAATTCTGCTTCCTATGCTTAGCAAATGCTCCCAGCACCTCTGCCCTTTGCAGTTCTTCCAGTAAACAGACCCTAGGACACACTCCTTAAGGAGTCATGTACTGGGCTCCTCAAGTTTTCCACGTTACCCTGGCAATGAACAAGAAACTGGGGGTTAACAATGGTTCCTGGGAACAAAAAAGTTGGGAAAGATTGCTCTGAAGTGCCCAGCCTCCCACTTTCTGTACACACCACGACCCCAAAGAACAAATGGGGTACAGAGAGTGCAAACAGCTTGCTTAGTAATGCCTAGCAAGCCTTGGGTGGAGCTGAGATTAAAGCCACATTCCAGCCTAACCAAGGAACCAGCCACTCTCCTTTATCTACGTGTGGGCACAGCAGCTTTCCCTGAGTCACTTACTACAGCCTCTCACTAGCCTGGAAAGACCAGTTCAAAGAGATACAGAGCAAAGAGTTTTCAACAGCCTTGGGCAAGAAACCAAAGCTGGACTTGGCTCCTGATCAGCCCAGCTTGTGTTCTTTAACTGAGCCAGGCATTGCCTCCCATGGCTTGTCTCCCCTCTGAGGTTACCTGCTGCAGGAGAGGAGCTGCAGGAGCAGAGAGACTTTTCTGGGTTCACGTGGGACCCTCTTTCTCTAGATTCAAAGGCACTCAACAGCACGTGTTTAAATTGGGACAGTCACATGGACCTTGCCCACACAATGGTCACACTCCTCCTTCTATCATCAGAACTGATGGAAGCCACTGAGAGTAAAAACAACCCCACAAAACAAGCCTACACCAGACCCAAACCACGGTGTAAATACAGCTCCTGAAATATGGGTCCAGTTTAAGGCAGACAAGGAAGAAAAGTGGATGTTTCTTGGGGAGGAAAATGGCTCTGTGGATTCTCTCTACCTCCCTTGGCCCATTTAGTCTGGTTTTAGCAGTATTACTCAAACTGTCAGGCTCTACCTGCTTCCCCAGGGAGCCTGCAGTGTGTCTGGGAAAGGGGAGAAAGATTCGTTTGCTATTTGTGTTAATGATTTGCACTTAGCACTCGAAGGGGGAAATGTCTCCCAGGCAGAGCTTTCAAGCAAGGTCACACGACTGTTAGTGAATTCTGCATGAAAAGAACCCAGCAAAAAACAGAGATGAGAAGCTTTGTTTGAAACGGGCTTCACTCTGCATCTCCAAAGAGTTTTCTCTTAAAACCTTCACTCAGCACAGAAAAAAATCTGATCAGGTTTCTACACCTGGAATACAACAGAACAGAGGAGGGAAGAGAAGCTAAAAGGGAAGCCTTGAATGAGAGACCAAGGCACCATCTCTTTTCTGATCTAATTCTGGGTGGGTGGGTGAGACAGGAGATGTTTTTAGGAAGACCCATGTGTTTTCTAAGAGAAGATGCAACCAGGGAGCAGGTGGTAAACCCTATTCTCTCACAGTGCCTGGAGGTGGAGGAACAAAGTGCAGGTTGCTGGCTGGAAACGCATCACACGCGAGTCAAGAGGTGGAGTGCACGTCTCAAGGGAGGTGGGTGGAGGTGTCTGTGTGGTGGGGAAGGACAAGCACATGCCTCGGGGTCAGAACCATCAGGATTTACCCAGAAATGTGCCTGTTTTGGAGGAAAACGTGGGGGGAAAGTGGGGGGAGAGATGTAGCTGCACCTCGCTGCGGCAGCTCCGCGTGGCGAGCCAGAAGGGGAGGACATTTGGTTAGAGGAAGAGGCTGTACCTGCATGGCAAGGAGGGTGGCAAGTGAAAGGTTTGCTAGAGAGATATTTGGGGCATTGCATGAGAGCCTTACAGCAATGACAGGGTGCAGGGATACGTGATGCATTCAGATGCATATCACATCCAAGTGGCCATCTGGATGTCTTTCAGAAGCTGTGTGTTTGTCAGGGTGTGGGGAGAGAAGTCTTCTGTGCTAGCAGATGGTAGTGTGGAGGCTGAGTCATTAGGAGGCCTCAGGCCTCTGCCTCTTACCCAGTCTGACATAGAGCACATACTGCATGGAGTCCCGGGGCTCTGTGTAGAGGATGCTGCCTCTCATGCTGAGCCAGATGATTGCCACCTCTGCGATCATACAGCTGAGCAGGATGCCCAGGTAGCCTCTGCCGTGGTCCACCAGGTTAAGGGAGCAGGTCTCGTTGGGGTTGTACACCAGCCCAAAGAGCACCACAGAGAGGATCACAAACCTGCCATCACAAACCACCTCGTTACCAGCAGGAAGGCAAAGAAAGCTGCACGCGTCACACCCCGCATCTGCTCTCCTCCCAAAGCTGCTGAGGATCCTCAATCTTCCACAGCTACTGAGATTTAATATCAATTGGGTCTGGAAATCTCCTCCCCACAAGCCATCCAGAGGTCCTGCCACCCAGCTCAGCACAATTTCATCATCTATGTCAAGTCACATCAGCCCGTGGGATGTGTCGCTCCAATTGTTTTTCTTGAGCCCCTGGGGTAGGGAAGCGCAGCCCCAAACTCCAGTGGACAACCTTGGGTGGCACTGGAGGGTGCAGGGAGCTCTGGTCAGGCTCCTTTCTTTGGAGCTGGAGCTAGAACTTGGACCAGAAGCTGGCAAGATGTTGGTGTCTGTCAGAAATGCCCCACACCAACCTTCCAGCCGCACGTGTCTGTCGCAAATACCCCAAACCCACCTTCCAGCACAGGGAGAATTACAGCTGCAAGAAGCAGGAACAGCAAAAAAAGAAGATCTCAGGGGTGGATTTGAACCATCACTTTGCCTTTCTCACTTACCAGGTGGTATGCAGGAGGAAGAGGAAGACTGCTGGCAGAACCAGGTCATCGCTGCCCACAGACCAGCGCCGGCGGAACACGACAATCCCTGGCATGGCTAGTGGGTCTCAGGAGGGTAAGCAGGCACCACCACGCTCACCTCCTGGCAAAGAAGACAACCAAAGCTGCTGTTGAACCTCTTCAACCCCCCCTGAAGCAAAGCCCCACACCTGAGAGCTTTTTGACACTGAAGATGGGGGGCATGAAATGCTGGAGGAGGAGAGGACAGGAACCTACAGCTTAGAGGGGGAAGTATGAGGTGAAGGGGGTGTCCAGCTCACTGGATGTAATCACCACTCACCCAGCTCCACTTCATGAGATTACCTGGAATCCTGTTAGGGCTGTGTGGTGGTAAGCAGCTGCCGTGGGCTGTTTTGGACAGGTTAGACTGGCCTCAACTCTAAAGAAGGGCCTATTACCATGTTTTTCCTCAGGCACACCTACTGGGGTTCTTCTCTTGCTGGCCACCAGCCTCTTCTCTTGTTCTTCCCTCCTTCACTTGGCTCAACAAGCCAAAATACCCATTAGTGACAGCATCTGGGGAAGTTTTGGACTGGAAAGAGCTTCCAGGTGAGGCAGTGAGCTCCTTGGAGATCTCTCACTCAACCATCAGTTGCCCCCTGCCAGCTCCACGTCTCCTTTGTGTTCCCACTGCCCTGACAGGCACTAACAATGAAAAGGTTGAAGATTGAGGAGCTGCCTGTTCCACCTCACATTTTGTTTGTGTTCCTATTTTTAAGGCTTCCCAAACCCTTTAAAAAAAGCAACAGCAGTGGTGACAAGTCACGAGACTCCAGAGGGCTCTCCAGACACCTCCTCCCAGCACAGCTCTCCCACAGCACTTCAGTTCTGCTGTACACACTCCAGCCTGCTCCACTCCAAGTCCACCACATCTCAGCAGCTCAGTCCTTTCCTGCAGCTCAATATCTCCCCCAAGATTCAGGGATCTGATCCATGCTGAGCAAGAGCTCAAGGGCCCCTGGGGGGCAAGAGGCTGGGGCCAGACTCTGCTCAGTGGTGCCCAGCCACAGGACAAGGGGCAACGGGCACCAACTGGAACCCAGGAGGTGCCACCTGAGCAGGAGGAGAAACTTCTTGGGTGGGAGGGTGCAGAGCCTGGAGCAGCTGCCCAGAGAGGCTGTGGAGTCTCCTGCTCTGGAGAGAGCCCAAACCCTCCTGGCTGTGCCCCTGGGCACCCTGCTGGGGGGGAGCTGCTGGATGAGATGTTCTCCAGATGTCCCTTCCAACCTCCACCAGGTTGGGATTTCTTGTACATGCCACTTCAAACCATGACCCACAACTTCTTTTTGGCTTTGTCAGCCTCTGGTTTCTGAGCTGATGTCAGCAGTGGTCTCCTGGCTGCAGTGACCATTCCTGTCCTTCTTCTGTCCCCTAAACCCTGCCACGCTTCCTACCTGTACCCCCACAGATGGGGGGACACCACACATGGCCCTGTGCCTCTTCACTCCAAGCCACCATCTCAAGAGTGCCAAGTTCTCCCAATTGATGCATCTCAGTTCCCAATCCCAGGACTTCTATTCCAACCCCACAAGCTTCCCAAAGTTCAGGTCCTTGCAGAGCTTTCCACCCATGATCAGCACCTCCACTGGAGAGCTGCTCTTTGGCCTCAGCTGGAAATTTACTGTTAGGCTCCCAGGCAAAACCCAAAGTGTCCAGATTTGTTACTTATGATGTCATTTCAGAAGCAGCAACATCTGCTGTACCTGGCGAAGAAAAGAAACCACAACACCAAACACCTCAAAAAAACCTTCTATGTGATGGCTCTAATTTAGTGTTCTGAGTTAAAAAATAAGGGGGGGGAGTGACATGATCACATTTAAATGAATTTGAACCTTCAAAGCAACACAAGAGTTGGTTCTGTGGTGGAGCACAGAGTGTATCACAGCACTGGGACTTGTTCACCAGTCAGGTGTGGTTGCCCATCACCAACTCACCATGCAGAACATCTCCCCTCCTGCACCAACACCCATGGCCACTGGACTATTCCTGCTCATTCCACACAACCCCAGCATGGTGGGGTTAGGAGGGAGCTCTGGGGATCATCTCCCCCAACCCCCTGCTCCAGCAGCTCCCCCCCAGCAGGGTGCCCAGGGTCCCAGCCAGGAGGGTTTGGGATCTCTCCAGAGCAGGAGACTCCACAGCCTCTCTGGGCAGCTGCTCCAGGCTCTGCACCCTCCCACCCAAGAAGTTTCTCCTCCTGCTCAGGTGGCACCTCCTGGGTTCCAGTTGGTGCCCGTTGCCCCTTGGCCTGTGGCTGGGCACCACTGAGCAGAGTCTGGCCCCAGCCTCTTGCCCCCCGGGGGCCCTTGAGCTCTTGCTCAGCACTGCTCAGATCCCCTCTGAGGCTTCTCTTCTCCAGCTGCACAGCCCCAGGGCTCTCAGCCTGGCCTGGCACAGAGATGCTCCAGCCCCTCAGCAGCTCCACAGCCTCTTCTGGACTCTCCCCAGTAGCTCCTTGTCACTTCTGAAGTGGGGAGCCCAGCACTGGGGGCTCCCTTCAGTCACCTGGAACTGAAAACCTTCCCAACCCTTCTGCACTTTCTGGGGGTTTCCACAGTTAAGGGGCTGACACTCTTCCAGCACTTACTTGGGTGAGGGCAACTCTCCATTCCACCAACAAAGCAAAGGTGAAGTCACACCTCCATCTGGATTCACACTTCCTTAGCACATAATCATCAGAGCACTGAGGACAGGGCAGCTCTGCCTCCAAACTGCTCACTCCTCTGGTCATCTGGTGACTCCTCCTGCCTGGCTGACAGCCCTCAGGGCTTGAATATTCCTCAGGACATGGACACATCTTCCAGCACGTCCATCACCCTGCCTCTGGCCACCATCTTCCAGCATCTCCACCCTCAACTCCCACCATCCCTCAAGCTTTTAGCTGTGTGCCACCATGGGACTTTCCACCACCTCTTTCACCAGCTGGGCTCAGCCTCTGCCAGTTTACAAGGCAGGGGATGGGGCAGGAGCAGCAAACATCTCAGGTGGGTTCCTCATCCACAGCAGCAGGTGGGGAGGGAGCAGAGTGGCCTGTCCCTGGCTGTCACATGTGGGAACACTCGTGGTGGGACTGTCACTCCTACCTGTGTACTCCCCAGGCCTTGGTGCACTGCAGAAGGAGTTCCAGTTCATTTTCAGAGACCTATTCTCTTTGAAAAGCTAAATCATGAAGCCTGGGGCCCAAGCCCCCAGTTTGGACAGACAGGAGAGGAGAGAAGGCCTGAGATTGTAAAGCCCACAAGGTGAAGCTCTCAGGGTGAGGACTCTTCAGCTTCACCCCAGGGCAGCAGATGCCACGAGTGACATTTTAAGCTGATGAAGACACAAGGAGCAGAGGAATTGGGAGGAAAGTGGATGGTGAGAGTGCAAACAGCCCTGAGACCACCAACCCTAGTTTTGCCCCAGCAAGAACTCCTCACACCGCCCCTAAAAATCACTGTGAGGAGCAGGAAAATTCCCAGGACCCCAAGATCTGAACCCTGGTCCAAGAAGCCCTAAAATCCCACCCTGAAATCGGGGGGGGAAGTTCACAGAGACACCAGCTTTGTGTGCACGAGCCCTTGCCCCTCAGCTCAGAGAGAGATGGATGGAAGCAGAACCCTTACGTGGCTGCTGCACCTCCTCCCCTCCCCTGAGGGTGTTCCAAGGAACGTGGACATCCACGGAGAGGGCATCCCAAGGGAAGGAGGTCCCAGCAAACTCTTCCTGCAGCCATCCAGCAGCCCAGGCGACGCAGGGAAGGGTGACGTGGTGCCTGCTCCAGGCTGTGGCTCCAGGGCTGCCCCCCTCCCTCCCTCCAGCACCTCAATTTATTCATGGAGGGCTGCTGAGAGACAGCGAGCCAGGGGTCCTGACTCCCCCCTTTCCACCCCCCCAGCACCCTCTGCAAGGAAGTGACATCATCCCTATTTTGAGGAGATCCTACGTGGCTTGCGGGAAGGAGGACTGGGAGTGATGCTCTCGGGGATGCAGAGAGCCTGGGGAGAAGGAAAGTCCCCCAGCAGCAGCCCAAATCTCCACCCTGTTGGCACCAAAGAGGACCAGGAGTGTGTCCAGAGCCCTGGCTGTGCCCAGGAAGACCCTGGGTTGAGCTGGGAAAAGCTCCTCACCACTGGTCCCTCTCCTTGGGCCGGGGGGGTGGGGAATTGGATGGGACACAAAAGGGGCACACAGAAGGGGGCCACCGTGGCCACAGAAAGGAGACACTGTTCCAGAGGAGCAGCCTCTCTCCCAGGCCTTTTCAGCCCTTAATTCCTTGTGACATGCTCTGGGGTATGACAGGATGTGGGGGAAGGGGAGAATTAGCTGTCTGGAGGGGAAGGCTTAGAGAAAAGAGCAAGGGAGGAAAAAAAATGCTCCAGCGAGACAACATTCCAGCTAAACCTGGGAGATTTAGTCTAATCCAACATCCCAGCATCACTGACATTAGCCTCAGAAGAAACTAGCCAAGGAAATACAAGCCCAACACAGCCCCAGCTGAAGGAAAAGGGCTGTGAGTAGATCTTGCACTGCAGGAGACCACCCACACCCTGCCAACACCCCGGGAGAGAACCAGCTACTCCCCCACCCCCCCCAAATCCACCACTGAGGTTGGTTTTAAGCTCCCAACATCACGCAGACACCCAAGGCATGGCTGCACCCACACAACCCAACACTAACCCCCCCCCAACCCCTCATCCCTGGCTCCACGAGGGCTTGTGGACTCGCTTGGTGTCCCCACCTCCATCACCCAGCAACCTCCTCCTGGTCCTCAACCTCCTGCTGCTGCCACTGAGCAGAAGAGGGGAGGCCAACTCCACGCTGACATCAGATCCACCAGTGCCAACAGGTTCTTCTTGCTTTGGCAGACCACTGGTGATGGCTGCACAGAGGCATTAGCAGGAGGAAGCCCTGCTAGCCCAAGATATTCATCACCCACCTTTCCCCTCGGCCTCAGATGGGGACCTGCTTGCAACTTGACATGACCCAGGTATGACAAACCAGTCTCATCTTGTCTTTCATCTCTCTCAGCACCCTCTTTCAGCTGCTCTCCCCA